CTTCCAGGCCTGACTCGCTCAGATGTCTCAGGCACTAACACACCTGAGAGAGCAGCATTTCTGCCACATCTGCCACAGCAGCTGCACACGTGTGTGCACACAGCCAGAAAGAGGCAGTGCAAGGTCCCTGTGAGAAATTCCCCTGGCAGGCAGTGGAATGCTCCCTGCGGATCCCTTTGCATCTCCTCACTGGGCCAAGGGCTGGGCCTCGAGCACCGGGGGGATCGGCCCAGGAGCCGTCGGCGTTCGGGGATCAGCCGAGGGCAGCACACGGGAGAGATCCCAGCTCGGAGAGGCCCCACTCCCAGGGAGCTTCTGCTCAGCTCCAAGGGTCTCCTTTTGGGCCGCTGCTCACAGGGCCCCAAGGCACGGGCGTCAGGCACAGCCATGTTTCACCCTGGCCACACTTCGGCCGGCAGCTCCCTGGGAAAGTGGGAGAGCAGGGATGCTGTGGCATTCAGGGGAGTGCAATAATTCCCAAGGCTGTTGATAAAGCCCCAGGAGGTGGTTGGACAGCAGCAGTTCCTGGGAGCAGAGGGTGTTTCTGATCAGTGCCAGAGGAGCTGGGCCCCGGGGCTGCTCCTCAAGGCTGAGGCCTCACAAGCACGGATCAGAGCCCAGAGCGGCCTGGAAAGGGGCTGGGGATGCCCCAGCACAGGGAGGGTCACACTGTGGGTATTTACTGATCAGGAGACTCAAGGAATCTCTCAGGCACTGTCCCAGGGTCCTTCAGCAGAGCAGTGGAAGGGATCAACAGGCTGAGGCCTCTGTGTCCACAGCGGGATCATCTCCACAGGCAGTGTTTTCTCTCGGCTCCTCAAACACCCTGTGGATTGCCTTCCTTAGGGACTGCATGGAGGAGTGCCTCCTGCAGCTCTGCATGGAGCAGAGTCTCCAGCAGCTTCTCATGGAGTAGGCTCTCTTCCAGCTCCCCACCAAGAAGTAGATGAAGGGTTTGATGCTGCTGGTGATGCAGGTGAGCAGGAAAACCACCTGGGAGGGCACAGCCGTGTAACCGAGCTGCTGCAGGAACAACCAGAGACTGAGGGGCAGACTGAAGAGTGCAACAAGGAAGATAACGATGTCCAGATTCTTGGGTGGCTCTTGGGATCCAGGCTTGAAATGAATGAAGAGGATTGTGCAGGAAATGACCATAGGTACAGCAAATAGGAAGAGGTTGAGGGCGTACATGGAGGTGAGAGCCACCTGGCACTTCTCCTGTTCGTGTGACTGGCACAGGGAAGTCACTGTGGGATTGACAGCGGTGACAACAAAGAACAAAGCCCAGAACAGGGCACTCATCACCACCCACAACAATTGCTCAGACTGTTGCCCAACACAGAAAAACAGGCAGAGGATGGACCTGCACCTCTCGATGCTGATGAACATCAGCTGGAACAGCCCCATGGTGTAGGTGAACAGTGACAGCTGGGAAAGCAAGCTCAAATACATTGGGGATATTAGAGCAGAGCAGGACACTTCCTCCACAAGGAAGAGCAGAGTGGAGGGGACCATGAAGATGAGGAAGAGGAAGTCGATGCTGGCCTGATTGAAAGCCACAAAGTCAGTGATGGCATCAATGAGGAGGAGCCAGAGGAAAGTCCCGTTCCCAGCCAGCCCACAGAGGCCGATGAGCAGCGTCACAAAGTGCATGGCCATGCTGGAGACATTGATCTCACACTGACCAGGTCCATCGTTTGGTGAGGTGAAGAAAGTGGACACGGTGGTCACCTCCATGGATGGACACTGGGCAGGCAGTGGGATGTGGCCCCTGGATGTGGTCAGCATGGATGGGCAGTCAGTGCTTGGAGAATCCAGGGATGGACCATGTGGCTCCTCAGCAGCTCCCTGCAGTGGGAAGGATTCAGAGGGGAGGAGTGAGATGTGCAGAGGAGGAGAGTGGTGGAAATTGTGGGGTGGGAGAGGGAGGGGGGAGGGTTGGGCTGTTCGGCAGGAGGCTGATAAATAACATAGAGAATAAACATTTTCAGTTCTTCTGAAGTTGTTCAAAAGCAAAGTGGCCAAAATTTAAAAGGATGTGTTATAGATGGGTAATGGGATGATTGGCTCTCACAGTTAAGGGATGAATAGTGGGTGAATAATAAGAGAAGCTTCATTGATGTATAATTATGTTACTGTAGTCTGTTGTTTAGATGTCCTCTCTTCTCCCCATAATCCCCTTTTCCCCCTCTGTATTGCTGCCGTCAGAGGCCCTGAGTCACCTGTGACAGGTACAAAGAAGGGGGGTACAAAGCTTGTTGCTGGGGGGGAGGTGCAGCATGACAACACCTGCCCTCCAGTCAAGTTGCAAGAACGCAGGCTCCACCAATACACACAAAGAAGAGTTGTCAGACAGACTTTGGGAGGGCCCAGGTTTAGCTGATGCAACCACCCGCGGTATCAAAGGAGAAGCATCCATCTTGAAGGTGAGCCAGCCACGTGGTAGCAGCCATGAGGGAAACTCCCCGGCCTGCTTCTCCTTATTTGCTCCTTTTGTTGTATTTTTTGTTAAGGTTTAATAAACCTTTAAAAATTTAAAAAGTGGGTGGTTGTTTCTCACAGGATGTAAAGGCTGGCACACAGGATGATAAAAGTGGCTGGAACCAGTGCAGAAACAGATAAGGAGGCTGCAGTGGTTTGGGGCAAGTTCTGGAACAAGAGGCAACAGTGCATGGCCAGAGGAAAAGTTCAAGGCAGGGCCACCTTTAATATGGCAGCATTCATTGAATATGAGCACCAGAGAGACCCTAGTGCAGAAACAGATAAGGAGGCTGCAGTGGTTTGGGGCAAGTTCTGGAACAAGAGGCAACAGCGCATGGCCAGAGGAAAAGTTCAAGGCAGGGCCACCTTTAATATGGCAGCATTCATTGAATATGAGCACCAGAGAGACCC